TTATACACATAAATAACATTCTATCATTTTCGTCTAGGAAAGAGTCACTCACAGGTTCAGTCGTTGCACTGGTTTTTTAGTTCTTGATGAACGCCGAGGTTCGTGAGTACTAGGCTTATCAGGCAGTACTGGTAATGTCGTTGCAGGAGAGGGTAAAGTTACTGGAACAGAGTGTACTTCCAGGGGAATTTCCGATGCTGTTTGGTTGCATACTGCGTCTCGATCAAGAGAATTTACTCTATTCTCGACTTTACTAGAGAGTGAGAATTCTTTGAGCGAACCAGTACTTGGAGTTGGTTTCAAGGGATAGTTCTTCGTTGACGACATCTCAGTTGAACCTTCACTGTCAAAAGTAACTGGAGTCGTGAATGAGGAGTCCTTAATCTCCACGGAATGTTCCGATTTATTTAAAAGCGAACAACACAATTGACTTACGTGTCTCTTCCAAATGTCACCGTAGATGGTTCTCACAGTGTATGTAACAGGTGAAAGCTTCACCAAAGCCTCAGCTTGGACTCAAATCCCTCTAGCAACGTTCTTAGCCGTTACAGAATCTCCTACTTCGAACGACCGATTTCTGGATCCACAAGCATAACGTTGTTGGTTAGCTTGATTCCTAGCCACTCGGTTCCTCAAATTGGGTCTTAGAAGATCCAATTTCCCTCTAAGTGGTCTACCAATATGGAGTTCCGCAGGTGTGTATCCTGTTGTACTATGAGGAGTGGAGGGATAACTGAATAATATCTGCAAAACAGCCACCTCTTCATTAACACCCTCCTGCAATAGCAGCTTAAGTTGTCTTTTCAAAGTCTTGACAAGATTCTCAGCTGCGCCGTTAGACGCAGGATGATACGGTGCTGTTCTCACGTGCAGAATTCCACATCCCCTTAGAAAACTCTCAAATTCCTCGGAAACAAGACTAGGTCCATTATCGCTGACCAAAACAGCAGGATAAGCCCACGTAGAGAAATATTCATTCATTGCTAGAATAGTCTTTTTTGATGTGATATCTCTCATCAACTTAACGTCAATCCATTTAGAAAATGAGTCAATAATTACTAAATACATTTTATCCTTACTCTGGAGAAAATCGATGTGCATACGCTGGTTTGGTCCCTCAGGCCATTTCCACACGTTCAGCTCTGTCCTTGGAGGATTAGCAGCATTCTCCAGACACAACCGACACTTTTTAGTTATTGTTTCAATGTCTGTGTCAATACCCGGCCAGTATACAAATGAACGGGCTAACGCTTTCATTCTCACTATTCCGCTGTGTGTTATATGTAACTCTCTCAAAATCATCGATCTCAATTTAACAGGTATTACAACTCTCGTTCCCAGCATCACACACTCATCTTCAATTGACAATTGTCTTCCTTTACGTTTAAACATTTCAAAAACAGATTCTACTTTATCAGGCCAACCCTGCCTCACGTATTTCTTAACTCTCACTAATATCGGGTCTCTCTCCGTTTCTGCTCTGATCAATTCAACATTTAAGATGGGAGCTTCCGATTCAATGAAATTGAGATAATTAAAAACTTGATTCCCATCTACTTCCTCCTCCATCAAAATAAGCGCTCTTGACAGACAGTCTGACACTACATTATCCTTACCGCTGACATGTTTTAATTTAAAATCATACGTCGATAACAGTACTGCCCATCTTTGTACCCTTCCAGCTGCGATTTGATGGCAGGCTTCTACACGGATTGAAAATATATTTTAGCGGTTTGTGATCCGTCTCAAGCATGAACTGCTGTCCCCATACGTACTGGTGAAAACTCTTGATTCCGAAAACCAACGCCAAAGCTTCTCTGTCTAATTGAGAATAATTTCTCTCCGCTTTAGTGAGAGATCTCGAACTGAACGCAATTGGTTTGCACTGATTGTCTGGCAAAACGTGAGATAATACAGCACCCACTCCCACTGGAGAGGCATCACAAGTTAATTTAAGTGGATATTTAGGATTGTAGTGCATTAAGACTTCCTTCGACCTTAATTTCACCTTAATGTCATCAAAAGCTATCTGACAGATCTTAGACCATTTCCAAATTTCTTTTTTCTTTAAAAGGTTATACAGCGGGGCGGCAATTTTTTCATAATTATTGATAAATCTGGAATAATAATTTGCCATACCCAAAAATCTTTGTAATTCTGAAATATTCTTGGGAACCTGAATTTCTATGATGGCTTTCACCTTATCTGGGTCAGCAAAAATTCCTTCTCTGTTTATTATAAAACCCAAAAATTTGATTTCCTTTTGAAAAACTTTACACTTCTCTTTCCTTGCTGTGAAGCCTGCGTCTTTCAATTTGTTTAACACTTCTATTAAAATTTGATCATGTTCAGTTTCATTATCACCAAAAATTAGCACATCATCGAAAAAACAGATTACCCCTTTCATTCCAAAAAAAAGTTTTTCCATCAATCTCTGGAAAAGTCCCGGTGCCGACGTCACCCCAGAGCATAATCGATTATAAACATAAAGACCCCTATGAGTTGAAATCGTCCTTAAAAATTTTGATTTTTCATCCAACTCAACCTACTGATATGCGTGACTTAGGTCAATACGACTAAAAACTGTTCCACCCGAAATTTTGGAAATCAAATCATTAATCCTTGGAATTGGATGTCGATCAATTTTAATACTGTTATTTATTGTCGTTTTATAATCGCCACACAGGCGAATCTGTCCATTGGGTTTAACAACAGGTACGATTGGGGTTGCCCAATCACTAGATTTAACTGGAGAGATGACTCCTTCTTTAACTAATCGTTCAATTTCACCTTCAATTTTGTCAATCATTGCATAAGGAACCACTCTTGGTTTAACAAATACGGGATTTACCCTGTCTTTCAACTCAAGAGTAAATTTTCCATGTCTATATAAACCAAGTTTGTTTGTCAAAACTGAAGGATACATCTCTCGCAGCCTCTTAACCGTAAGTCCGAAATCATTCTCAATCTTATTTATCATTAGGTCTTTCCCATTTACTGACAAAATTTTAAGTTTACGAATCCATTCTCGACCCACAATAGGTCCTCCAGTACCTCTTATAACAAATAATTCTAAATTCGAATTTTCGTTTTTGAATCCCACTCCAACCATCAAAATTCCCAGATGAATAATTGGGGTGCCCGAGTACGATCGAAACTTACGAAAAGTTGGCTTTAACTGGAGATTCGAGAATACCTCGTTCTTCTGAAACTCTTTTTCAGATATAGCTGAGATTGGTGAGCCTGTGTCAATTTCGAAACTCATAGTTTTACCCTCGACAGTTAACACAATTTTCATTGAATCAGATTTCCCTGACACATAATTACCACATATAAAATTGCATTCGTCGATATTTAACATGTCATTGAAGTCCTTATTCAAACCAATAATTTCGTCAACATAGTTCTGATTAACATTTCCAAATTTCTTGACCCTGTTCTTAAAATTAGGCCCTTTTACCCTAACATTCGTCTCATCGTAACGTTTACTTTTACTGTTATTGTTCTCACTGATTTTTCCCTTGTATCTACAAACACTTGACAAATGTCCTTTCTTCTTACAACAGTTACATACATACTCCTTGTATTTACAATTCGTCCGAAAGTGATTTCGACTACCATAACTGTTACAATTTCTATTGCTCACTTTTTCATGTCCAGTATTATATCTTGGCCCTTTCACATAATTTATACCGTCAACTTGTTTTGATACATCAATATCACCCGTGTCCTTGGCCGCTGCCTCATCACTCAACGCAATATCGATCGCTTTCTCATACGTTAAATTTTTTTCAGCAAGTAATCTTCGCTTCGTTCTAATGCTTTTGAGGCCACAAACTAATCTGTCCCGAATTATCTCATTTAGAGAGTTACCGTACTCACAAAACATCGAAAGACTTTTCAACTGAGCCAGATATTCTCGAACTGATTCATTTTCTTTTTGAACACAATTATTAAATTTAAAACGCTCAGTCATGACATTTGGTTTCGGTTTGAGATGGTCAGACATTAATTGAATTAATTCGTTGTAATCTTTTTGTTAAGGTTGCTGCGGAGCACACAAATTCGATAGAAGATTGTACCCCTCACTACCTAATAGACTCAAAAACAACTGTTTCTGTCTACTTACGTGAACTAAATTACCATCTAAATACTGATTAAAACGTTGAAACCACTGAGACCAGTCTGTTTACCTCGTGTAACGTTCCATTGAGCCAATACATGGAACCACCCTACTCGTCCTGATGTCCTCTAACTCCTTCCTCAGAGTAGTTACTTGCTCGTTTAATCCGGCAATTTGTGCATCTCGGCTGTTCACTGACTGTTGAGCTGTTATATTACAACGATTTAGCTGCTCATTTAGTGTCTCGTATCTCGCCTTGAGATCCTTATATTTTTCTTCCAGGGTAGCCATTTTGCCACGCTGCGGTTACAATTCCGCCAATTAATCTCTGATTAACTCTTCAGAATTAAAAATTACAACTGCTTTAATCCTCGTCGCCACTGTAATATATATGGGGATGGATGAGGGCAGCCAAATAACTTTGACGGGTGGTAATTTATTATTATAACTTTACTAATTCAGAGAGTTCTCTTATACACGTGTACTCTGGTGAACGTTAGTTAGACAAGTGAGATAGAGTAGGGTAAAGTCAAAACCCATCTTACATTAGATACTAGATGTCTCATCAGTCGTCAATTGTCCAAACATCACACTCAGCACGTATGTTTTTCTCCATGGTGAAATTTGTTTTCATATTTTTTCCTTCTCACCACGTATTTAATGCTTTGCTAGAAATGATCTGATGACCTTGGAGCTTGTATCATGTACAGATAAGGAATGCACGTGGCGTAAATTAAAAGGGTCTGCTCTCGCACAATGCAAACCCACAGCCTTTACTTCTATGTATTGTTTTCCACAGAAAACAATCCCAAAGCTCTGTGAAAAAGACGAAACAACTGTGTGCATGGAGTTGTTGGAATGTGATGTAAATTCTGCCATGGCTAAGCATAACAGACGCATGAGAAAAACTCCCATCCGTGTGCCTGTATCTAACGTTCTACCATTCAATAATGCAACCCTCAAAGTACTATTAACGAATGTTCACGAATCCCCCTCTCTCATTGCACTAGCACGAGTATCAGTGGAAGTGGCAGAATGCTGTATGCACGAATATCGCACTAATGTCAATACGACTGATGTATTGAAAATAGCTGAAGCCACTACCTCCAATCAATTACTTTGGAAGAAAGAAAGACAGTTTCGTATAACTGGTAGTCGATGCTATTCTCTTTACACCTATTCGAAGGATAATTGGGCTGAAAAAGCCTCTAATTACTTCTGGCCATGTGAATTTTCAAATAAGTTTGTCAAGCATGGATTAAAAATGGAACCTAGAGCAAGAATGTTATACCAAGAGTGGAAAAATTGTGATGTATTCTGTTGTGGACTCATAATTTCTCAGAATAATCCTTGGCTCGCTTATTCTCCTGATGGAATCGTAATGCAAGCCCAAAAGCCTTGTACGTTAATAGAGATAAAATGTCCATGGGATCTGCCAGATTTATTACCTGAAACTTTGTTAGAATGTTGTAATTATCTCATCTATAAGGATAAAAGGCTTCAGTTAAAACAAAAACATAGTTATTATGGTCAAGTACAATTTGGACTTGCATTACTGAATCTCAAAGCATGTGATTTTGTTATTTACTCCGATAAAGTTAATGGTATCGCGGTAATACCAGTAACTTACGATGAATCTTTCGCAACTAATTTGTTGACAAAATTGAAAAGTGTTTATTTTGAAAAAATGTTACATGTTATTTGTCAGAAAAATGAACATGACAATTGTTGTGTGAAAAAAATGAGAAAGTCATGAGGGAAAAATTAGTCGGTATAATAACTTGTCGAAATAAATATTTAGTTGTTGCTTAGCACAATCATTGTTATCAGAGGCTTATTTATTGTCAATTAAATAACCAGATAATTTACATGAATTTATCGTCAGCAAAAAGAGGTGTACCTAAATTTGCGAGCCCTGCACATACAATTACAATGTCATTCACATAGTTTACCAGATTCCATGACAATTTATTTCTTAGCACATCGAATATTTCAATTCTTTGATTCATCCGTTCTACGTGCACACGTGCAGCGGCAATATTGCGGTTTAATATTGCTTCTTCCGTGGAAAATTGCTGTTTCCTTTCTAAAAACGCCGGTCTGTATAATTGTATGCCAAATTTATCGCACAAATTTTCGATTCGAAATCCCTTATCAGCCATAACAGCATCGCCTGGTTGTAATCGACTGGTTATATTACTGGCTTCAAAGATTGCACCATCTGAAGAACGCTCTCCCTATCCTTCACTCAAATATATTAAAAGTCCTGCAGGACTGACCACAGTCATAAATTTAGCAGTGAAATTACTTTTATATTGCGAATAGATTTTGAGACGGCATGCTAGACATTTAGGTTTCTGAATCTTGAATTCAGTACAATCCACTACGCACACTGTGTTTTCAAAATTCTCGAAGGCGAGAGGCATATTTCTGGTGATTTCTTCCTTGGGGACCCATCGAATTACACACCTTAGAATTGTCGACAGTTTTTGTAAAGTGTCTAAGGAAATAGCTCGACGCGTTGATTCAGCCACACATCGCATAATGATTGTGAGGAAGGAAAATGTCAAGTCGTTTTTCAATTTCATCGTCGTTAAAATAATTCGGTCCCTTAACGGCATTTTATGAGGTCGTCTTTCTCGGAAAAACCTCATAATTAGTTCGACTAATTTATCGAGAATGCGATGATTTCTAATTCCACAGAGGACAGATAAATTATGATCTGTGGAAATCCTCGTGGTAAATGGCTCGTAAAAGTCTCCAGATTTCACCTGAATGCCAACATCAACAGACTTTTTTCTCCAAAATGACGCTAAATCCTCCGCTGATACTTGTACACTCGCATCACTATTTGGTGGATCATTTTCATCTGCGTATAGATGATCAGTGATTGTTCCTTCCAACGGTCCTTGTGGAGATAACATTTGACGACATATTTCATTGTCACAGACAACTGCCTCGACTGCATCGAATAACGAATACAAGTCACATTTAACTGCATGCTTTCCTCCATCGGTTTCTGTCACCTAAAAATTCAATCATCTTGAGGATTATTGAATTGAGAAGAGAATGTTGAAAGACATTTTCCGTTGGAAATCAGTTCATCTACAATACAGGTCTCTCTGGACATTTTTTTCTGCGGTCACTTGTTCCCAAGATAATTTAGATAATTAACTCATTGGGACATATTCCACTCAACATGAAATTAGTCAATGAAAAAAAATTAATGCTAAGTCGTAACCTCGAATTTTGACGTATTTCCACGTCTCCCAGGAGATCTAGATTCGTTTGCGACCGGCGTTATATTGATATTTTCCTCCAAGGTAGCGATTCGTTGGAATGGTGGCGTGCTACCCCTTAGAGAGAGTGATATGTACGCCTCTTTCAAGTTCTCCTGATTTTGCTGATCCTGGGCATCACATACTGGCAAATGTTGAGTGGGGACAGCATATTTTTTCAATCTCCGTCGGGACATTCCACACTCCAGAGCGAACTCTGAAAAATTGCAATGAAAAAAGTTACTGCTGACTGACAAGTCAAAGTGCATCTGTTTAACCACTTGAGACTAAAACCTCACCTGGGAACACAAAATCATCGAGTGAGAAATGTAAGCTACACACTTGAGAATTTTTCACAATTTTCTCCGGTTTCAATAATTTAATCCAAGTTTCTCGTACATCAATTTCGATTGCACTTTGGAGGTCATTCGGATCTATAAGTGAATATTTTCGATTTGGTTGTGGAATGACGTGAAAACTCAATTCTGGATGATCACTGATGTACTGAAACATTTTCTTCATAAATATGTACGTGGTAATTTGGTGGAATTTAGGAGAACATTATCAGAATGTAGGAGTAATTAGTTTTCGTTTAATCGATTTTTCTTTTTTGTAAATGATAATAAGCAGGAGTTATTCTTAAAAAAATCAAAAATAATTGGAATTGATAGAGAATAATTTGGTGGTCATTATAATTAAGGTTTCATAATTTAGGAGTTAAGGCCCGGCCTTCTCGTCGTGGGAAAATTTTGGTGACTTTTACCCCCCCACAGTTTGCGGCAGACTTCGAAGCTCCATCTAAAAAATACACGGTTGATAAGAGAAAAAGGGACAAAATGGCACACTTTTCCAGGGCCATCTGGGGCCCCGAAGGGAGGGTGCCAAATTTTCGGGCCCCCTTCGAAAAAAATTTGAATGGTTAAGGATTTTTCATTTGAATTTATAGGGGGTGGAATAAAAGAGTAGTGGGAATGAGAAATCCATTTTTATTCATTTTTTTAAACAGATAGGCGCATGGTGGTAAAGAAGGGGGGAGGGGGCATGGATGCGATGGTGACACGGGAGTTTGGGTATCGGATGAATCCGTCGGAAAAAAATGAAGGATTGAGAGTGGTGTGAGTGTGGCAGGGTAAAATAGGGGGTGATGGTGGAGTGAGTGCAGGTGGGAAAATGAAGGGTTGATGCTGGGATGAGTCTGACAGGATAAAATAGGGGGTTGATGGTGGAGTGAGTGGAAGGAAAAAAATGAAGGATTGAAGCTGGGATGAGTGTGGCAGAGTAACATAGGGGATTGGTGGTGGAGAGAGTGCACGTAAAAAAATGAAGGGTTCAAGCGGGGATGAGTGTGGCAGGATAAAATAGGGGACTGATAGTTAATGCATGTAGGACAATGAAGGGTCGAGGCTGGGATGAGTCTGGCCGGGTAAAATAGGGGGTTGATGGTGGAAAGAGTGCACGGAAAAAAAAGAAGGGTCGAGGCTAGTATGAGTCTGGCAGGATAAAATAGGGGTTGATGGTGGAGTGAGTGCAGGTGGGAAAGTGAAGAGTTGAGGCTGGGATGAGTGTGGCAGGCTAAAATACGGGTTGATGGTGGAGTGAGTGCAGGTGGGAAAATGAAGGGTTCAACCCTTCAAGGTTCAATCACTTTTACCCGGCCGCACTCATCCCAGCTTCAACCCTTTATTTTGTTCCGTGCACTCACTCCACCACCAATCCCCTATTTTACCCGCCACACTGATCCCAGCTTCAACCTGTTATAGACCCGAGCGGTTGGGTTCGATGATAGGGATAGATCACTCGTAGATAATTAGAAATGAATATCTCTCAGGGAGATTCAACTTTTTAACGGTTAAACGATTTATTCAATAATTATAGTCTTTGATTAATGCCGTAAATATCAGGCAATATGAATTACAAGAAAAGTGACTTAACGAATAA